TACATTAAAGCTGCCACAGAAGTATGGATTATTCTATATGTTAAATTTATTACCAATGCTTTAGAGAAATATTCAGATCTATGTCCTCTCAATATAGTGAAAGTATAAGAACACTGCTTATTCTTGTTCTGTCCTGAGCATGAATCACAGAATATTACAAGAACCTTTACTTTTGTGAAGGAATTTCTAACTTTTCTTCTTCAGAGATATTTTGTGAAAGCTTTGCAACCGGACTTTATAATTCTGCTTGAAATTGTATCACATGTTGAGCATATATCAGTTCGCGGGTACCCATGATAAGCAGATTTTTTTTTCCTTTCCCCCTAGGGCTTTTTCCAGTTGACAGCCATTTACCCTTTATATCCCAATGAGATGCATATTCGACCTACTAGACACTAGCATACTTAGACTCCTCTGTCAGCAGAACGCGAGGCCCTCAGCGACAATACATACATACGAGTCAAGGGACAAACAACCATGCTGTAGGCAAGATGCGAACCCACAACCCTGACATACCACGTCGCCTGATAAGTTGAATTTGCTGTTAAATATTTTCTGATATGTCTCATTTGAAACAGGAAATTCAGGTGATGTTCACTTTTTATAACTCTCAGCATTTTTTCTTGATAGTTCTTGTGGAAGGTAAATTCTGTCTTTCCCTTACCGAAGTGACACTTTGTTCCCCTTGATGCATCTCATGTAGTTTGTAACAGATGTCCCTTTTCTTTGTATAGTTTCCAAGGCCGGTTAGCATGCATGTCTCTTTTGACTTAGGGAGATATCTGTCATACTCAGTTGTATAATGCGCAATCTGTTCTTCGTTATTCTATGCAAAACAATGAATGCCATTTGGCAAACAGGAATTTCACTTGTGGTACAATTTTGTTTGAGACTTACAATTCATTGGATAGAGCAATCTCTGACATTTGGCGCCTTCTACAAGCAATTAATGTTACAGAAATTAAATTAGTTATATCGGAAGACTAAACTTACTTTACAAAAATAAAATTGTTGATAAGCTGTTTTCTTTTATTTTATTCCTTTAAAACCATCAAACAATTAGCATTTGCAGTCATTGTCTTACACATGAGTAGGCCTCAGGTTATAGGATAAATACCTATTTAGTTCCTTTAGGCTTGTGAAAAATAATTGCAGATGTTTATAAATCATGAAAAAATATATCCTCTGAAAGCATCTCATAGTACTTAAAATGTCAAAAAATAGCCATTTTTTTTTTCTTTTTTTTCTTCCTAAAACTACCTCAAACAAATAATTTTGAAGAATTATATTTTAATATTGTAATTGGGCAGCACCAAACGGCGATTCTTTAAACACTCGTTATATTGAAACGCTAATATACCCTGATCGAATACACAATTCCAAACTCATAGAGCCACATAGGAATTGCTTTTGCTTAGTATTCACTCCTCTTTCTGAAATCTAGGTGGTTTAGTATACAGTACTTCGATACAGTATACTTGAAGCGTAAAAACTTCCTCACTAGACAGCAGGGAGTTTTAAAGGAAGTTTTTTGTAGTGGCTTCGAAAATACTTGTTATACAGCTACGAATCCGTATATTACAACTTGCATTCTATGCTTCTATGAGCTCTGCAATACTAAGAATAATTTTTCTATTGAAAATTATCAAAAAGGATATTTCTGAATATGGCTCATTGTTTAATTCAGTGTGAATATTTTTATTTTTTTGCATTTGTACAATACTATGATGTGAGGAAACAAATGATTTTTTGACAGAAAAACCCTTATTGTTGGGCTCCTGGTAATTAAAATGATTGTAAACCTTGTTCCTATATGAAGTAAATTACTTCCTCTAACATGTGTATTCAGAATTTATGTTATATGGGTTCTTGATATCAAAACATTGATTGAAACAAAATGTCTGTCCAGTTTTTATGTATCACTAGAATTAAACAGGATTTCCAACTGGAAATGAAGATTAACTCAGTGAACAATTATGTTAAATAAGGAGTATCATCATCATCAATGCGTGAGAGAGAGGTTGATGTGAGTTCAGTCAAGTGCAATTAAAAAATGCATCCAGTTACCTTACAAATTATTTGTGGTCTGATTTCTTTGTTAATAATGCTCTTGAGATGGTAGTTTTATCAATTTCTTTGTGGTTTCAACTGTTAACTCTTCATTACTATGGTATAATACAGAAATGTTGCTGCTGTAGTAGGGCCTTAGAGACCCCAAAGGAATTGAAATACATAATTGGTTTAAAACTTAATATTTATTTCTGTACATGGTTTTTACATTTATTAAGATACTTGTTCTCATTGTTAAGCAATATAATTAAAATTTATTTATATTAAATTTTGTAATAAATGTGTGAACAATGCATGATCTTGTATATTGATAATCCTGGTTCTAAATTTTTTATGATTTTCATAAATAAAGAAATTAAATTAAGACTAATTTTGAAATGCACACCTTGTTGCTGGTCGTTTAGTTTTGCAGTAGGGGGAAAAGATTAGCAAAATATTGAAATGATCCTATCGTTTTTCCAATAAAAAATAATGTAAGAGAAAAACAACTTTTCGTCACAAATTTTTCAATAAAAATGCTTATAGTGCTGAATCCTTTCAATAACTAAGAATGAAATTTTGTGAGCATTAAGAGCAAATATCTAGGAATATTTTTGTTTTAGAAAATCGGAAAAAGATGACGTATTTCCATAGTTGAATTTTGAAGATTTTTACCCATTTATGACCTTCAGTGACATTGAAAACTTTTTGTTTTGCAATTGTTCTGTTGCTTAACATCAGTAGATACTGTTAACAAAATATTAGACAAAACTTTATGTATACACTCTTAGCTTGGAATTTTTTAATGCAACAATACCGGAAAATTTAATAAAATTGTTAAAAGATTGATTTATCTTTAGATAAAAAATAACGGTAAAAAATTACTCAAAAAAAAATTGTATCATGCTGAATCCGAAAATATAATTGTTTGCATGATTTTTGAACCTTCGATATTTTGTTGACTGTTTTGACAAAGAATGTATCAAAATATATGGTTCAATAAAAGGTCCACTAATGACCAATGGGCACAATTGTGGATTTTATATCCTCAACCGTTAGCTGCCCTGGTCCTAGTTTTCTATACGGTGATATACCTTCCGATTGGATGACACTAAAACTGCTGATTTACGCCAGAGGCAGCTCTACTCTGACGTTCAAGAATGAAAAGTTGGTGTTTTAGAATAACAGATGACTGTTGGAGATAATTATAAAACTAGATATTCAAACAATTTTGGTATATCGTTATTTTTTACACATTTAGTATTTATAAAGCACCTTTTACACGGTAAAATCTGAGAAACGCCAAGTTGATGATAAAGATACTAAGTTTTGAATGGTAGTGTCTATCTCTGTGACGGTTCATTTGTTCTTAGGTATCAAGGGAAAAAAAGAATAGTTTGTTATTATCGACCCAATATTGCTGTAATTTAACATTTTCTTCATATACTGCGAAATACTTCTAGAATTAGCTCAGGGAAAAATAAGTACGTGACTCGAAAAATAGCAAAAATTCAGGTAAATTTGTCCCGGGAAAAGTTGTCACCCTTATGGAATCGAGTCCCGTTGTAATTTGGCGTGGCTGTCCAGGCGCAGGGAACCAGCTGACGGACTAGGAAGCGATGTGGAATGAAGGCGGGCAGTGGCTGCGAGTGCGGGACGAGTACCCGACCTCGGGGCTCACGCACGCGGGCCACCATGTCCCAAGCCACTCTTGACATGCGGAGCGTGCCTTGCCACTTTCACTTCGTTTCGGGGGCTCAGGTATCACCAGAGCCAGCACATGGAATTCAAGGCCCCACCTGAGCCGCATCGACGTGTGCGCTAAGGTTTTCGTCCAGATAATGCTCGTCGTTCACAAACGACGCACAATGGCGAACGGCCGTATCGTTGCGTCTTGTGCGGCAAGACGTTCACTCAAAATAAACCACATCATTCACCGGAACAAGCATACGGTGGGCGCCCTTATCAGAGCGACCTGTGCGGAATGGCGTTTGCCCAGTCCAACGCCCTCGCAAATCACAGGCGCAAGCATGCGGAAGAGCGACCGGATCGTTGTGGCGTGAGCGGTAAGACGTTCGTCCGGTCTGCGGATCTGGCACTCACATGCGCACGCACACGGGCGAGCAGCCCTATCGCTGCGACTTGTGCGGTCGAACTTTCAACCACTTGAGCACCATCGACACTCACAAGCGCACGCACACGGGAGAACTCCGAGCAATGGCAGAAACGCGTAAGCTCGAGTTCACCACCTCAACGACCACAAGCGCCTGCACACGGGCGAGCGGCCGTATCTCTGAGACGTGTGTGGGCAGGACATCGCAAACGCAGGTAGCCTTACCTTCCACAAACGGAAGCACAATCAAGAACAAACTTGAGCAGAAGCTATTACGCTGGAGTGTGATTCGCCCAGTCGAGAAAACTCCATTCCTAGACCAGCATTCCAAGTGATCGAGTGCAGCATGTGCTTTGTGCAACTTCTCGAATAATATATACATTTACGGGCCGCTTAAAGTGCAGCTAACATCTAGTTTCTAGACAACTCACGTAAAAAAGTAAAAAGATATCCAAGAGAAAGCTTAATGAACGGTATAAAATGAAGTTTGACATTTTGGCAGGAGGTAGGTTTGTTATAAAATAATTTTCCTGATTATAATAATTGTTAAACATTAGTTGGGGGCAATTTCCTTAAAAAAGGTGAAGTAACTCGGGCAATTGTAGAAATGGTATTGATCTCAGCATGATGTCACCACGATATATTGAACACAATTAGCTCAAGGATAGCATCACATTCCAAAGGAATATTCCCGTAAAGTCAGAGCGAAAAAGAGCTTTCAGAAGACATTCGTGTTCCAAGTTTCGGTCTTTTTAATAGGGGCAAGGTCTCTATTGAATTCCTCCGAAGCCGTACCCGAACTTGGATCACTTCTGCTTCCCGTTATGGCTGCTACTTACCAGCCAATACTCGACATTTGACGACTTACGAGGCCTTACACTTGATTTGGAGATAAGTTCATTCATGTGAAATCTACCATTTTCTCGGATATCTTATTTCTAGATGTCTTTAGAGAATAGATTTCTTTCGGGAAAAATATCTATCTTCAATATTGCAGTTGTAGAAAGATGCCGAAAAAGTCATGCATATTAAAAAATAAATTGTATTACACAGCCTTTAACAACATCGCGAGAAAGTATGTGCTGTTGTAGCATCATTAGTATATTTTGCAATGAATTTAATTCATAATATATTCCGTTAATGGGAAGACTACTAAAAAGCCACAAATTTGTGCATAAAATTCCTCCATATGAAATTTTAAAAATCATCAAACGTGTCTATGCGGTAAGTTGTTTCTATCTGTTAATGTCATTGGGCTTGTATGTGCAGGTGCAGAGGGAAGTCAGTTGGAGAAGAACGAGGCATCGCGGAATGGAGACTGGCAGCACCGGGGGATAGGACAAGAGAAGAATACATACGCTTCTCCCTCAGTAACGCAGATATACGTGGGGATAAACGACCACATACAGGATCTAAGGTGCAATGAGTGCCCCTCCACCTTCACTTCGACACTGGATCTCAGGCAACACCAGCAGCTCCACATAGAAGAGCGTCCATATCGTTGCAACTTGTGCAATAAGTCATACGTTAAGAAAATGAGTCTTGTCTATCACATGCGCTTGCACACGGGGGAGCGTTCATATCGATGTGACTTGTGCGAAAAAGATTTCGTGCAGAAAGCAAACCTCGTCTATCATAAGCGTACCCACACGGGAGAGCGTCCGTATCGCTGCGACGTGTGCGGTTATACGTTCTCTCGGTCACATCACCTCAAAAATCACAAGCGCACGCACGACTGGACACGAACGATCGGACGTACAACTGGGAGAGGTAGCTCGGAGCATCAAGTGATGTCATTGCAATCGCTGTGACCGTGAGGTCGTTGGTTCGAGTCCCGACGGAGGCAGTATTTTCGACACTAGCTTGTTTGCTTGGTCGAATTCCGTCGGTGTGGAGGAGAATTCTGACGGCCGGCTGCCCTGCTTGGTTGTTTTACGCAACTTTTCTGATCGTCAGTAGAATGCCGGAGCAGCACCCTAACAAACTGGCCTCGAACCGCGCGCGATCTCATCGTCCTATTCCTTATCCCAACCTCACTACACACTCACACACATATACACTAACATGCATTGCACCACCCACACATGCCGGGAGTTAAGAGCTTGTCCCGGCTGGGGCAGTGCCCCGTTGGCGGGATATACCTGGTTGGGGAAAACCGCTCTAGCCGTCGGTAGGTCGGCGCCGGATCTCGCCATACAAGAGGGGAAAGATCACCGCCTTCTCCCGAGCAAAAATACATGCAGCACACTTACGGGACTAATGAGCTTGGTCTTGGACGTGCCCGGAGTCAGTAAACAATCAAATCAGTTGGACATACAGCTGTGATGTGTGCTGTTACACGTTCTTTTGGATGGAGCGCCTCATTGCTCACAAGCGTACTCCCACGCTCGTAGAGCTGCGGCGTGTATGGAAGGAACTTTGCAAACACAGGCAGCCTTTTGAACCACAAGCGATAGCATGCAGAAAGTCAAACACAGCCAACGCGCTTGTGCTGCCAGGATTGCTGTGGTGGCATTTGTCCCGCTATGCAACATTTTTCAAAATATGTATTTTCGGGAGTTTTCAAGTAATTTTTTTACAATAAAATTTTGGGACGATTCATGCTAGTATGTAAGGCTAGTAACTTTGATCCATGTGATGTTTTAAAGCAATAAATGTTTAGTAATAAATTGTATATATGTATAATGTAATAAAATAATGAATGTTATTTCGGTTTTA